ACTACCTCCTGTTTACCCTGGTTTTGGCCAGTAGCATCTCTCTATTTGGGCTCCCTAATCATCGATGTTGTGAGCAATCTTGAAGCTTTGTGCATGTTCTGCAAAATGCTTTGGCAAACAGGCAAAAGAAAATACAGCAAAGTCATTTCTGTGACATCTCTTAAAAAAAATAACAACAAAAAAAAAGCAGGCCTATAATGTGTACATACAAAGAATCTAATTTATTATTTAATTTTTTTTATTTACAAGAATGTTTTAGATGAAAATATATGCCTGGTATAAATCAATGCAAATTTTTTGAGGCCAGTGGCATCAGTATTTAACAGTTCAGAAGTGACTTTTTCCTCTTTCCTCCTGCAATATCCCTATAGCAAGAAATAAGACTTCTTGAGTTGGGTTTCTTAAGTTCAGCTGAGCATTCTGTGAAGTTTAAAATACACCACTAAAGCAAATACATCCTTGTAGTCCCAGTTAGGCTACTTGGATATTTAGGAATGAAATTACTCCAGCTGCAGATGAATTTTTGCTATCTGTGCATGTTAAAAACAAAAGAGGTGCATTTTTTTTTATGCATAGCTGCATGCACATTTTTGAAAATATGGAAACTAGGGGTTCTACAAAACACTGTGGAAAATTTATATCAAATGCAAAAAAAAAAAACCCAAATATTATTGTTAAATATCTCTAGCTTACATAATTTTTTCTTTATTTTTTTATTTGATTATCACGAGGAAGATTCATGGCTCAGATACACTTCCAAATGTGGGGGAAAAAATTCCAACTGTGACAAAACCAGTTCAATTCAAGTTTATTCTGAGATGCTTAAGTTAACACATGATTTCAACCTCAGTATATTAATTTGCAATACTTAAAAATAGTTAATGTGTTTTGTTTTATTTGCTGTTTGGTTGAGCAGATGGTAATGGTTTTGACACAATTCAGTTTTTTATTTTTCTTCTTTTTTTTTCTTGAAAAAGACAAGGCTCTTTTTCCCACTTTGTCACAGCTGGTTACCAATCAATCTCAATTCACAGTACAGTGATGATAGCACATGTTGTTCAGGGGCCAAATCTGATTGGGTTGCATTTTCAGCAGTGTTTCATATAAAAAAAAAAAATTGTGTCTGTATGGCAGTGACTGTCAGCACACTATTGTACAACTGTCATTAATCAGAACTAGCAACAATGAATGCATTCATATGTGCCAGAGACTGCCAGATTTCACTCAAAATCACCCAATTTCTATTAGAATTTCCTCACCAGCAGTGTTTTCTCATGTGCCTCTTGTTTCTCTCTTTCTTTTTTCCTTGCCAGTCCCCTGCCAGCCGCTTCCTTTTCACTTAATTAAAGGCAGACCTGCTCTATTACTTGTAGAACAGAAATTAGGTAACGTGGTGCCCAGAAGTGGCTGGGTTATATCTGGCACAGACTGGCTGGCTGTTTAAGAGACCTTTCCCAGCTCAGTCTGATGGCTGAAGTCTAAGCTGAACCCAAAGGTTAAGCACCTCCCAATGTTTAACAAAGAGAAGTACTTAAAATCAATTAGATGTCCATAAACATGTGAAACTGATGTCTGATGCCCTCTGGTTTTAGCACAATGCTGCATTAATTGGCTAGGAGTCAGCAATATTTGGGCAATATGTCACAAGTTGTTTCTTGACAATGCACATATTTTGAAGACATGGCCTTCTTCATGTACTGGCAATGTTAAGGAGCAATTTAACCACTTCACCCTGGTTTTGTGCCATTCCATTGTCAATCCAGGAGCCTGGTTAACACGCTATGTGATTAGTATTAGCAGAGAGGACCGTGATCTTCATTCCAAGTGTTCAGAAGCACTAATCCAGGTGAGAGTGAACTTCCATGGAAAGTGAGGTGAAAGCGTCTTGCTATGGGGATTTGAGGCTCTAGGACAGAGAGGAGACAAGGCACTGTTCAAGGCTGAGCAGGTGGATGCTTGAGAAATTCAAAAGACCTTCAGTCTCCATACCTTGTTATTTTGTTTGTGCTGCTGTGGGTCAGGCTGAAAGCTAGTTTCCCTCCTTTCTCCTTCCCGTCTGCTTCATCTGCCAAAGCTCTTCACTGAACTGTGGTGACTTCTGGGGACAGTGCTGGTGGAACAGATGACTGACGGGCAGCATATCAGTACTGCAGGACAGCAGATGGTTCTGACGCCCCACGGGTCCATCCACGTATGGATCTAATTGCTAGATGGCATGTTCTGTCAGGGTGGTCCAAAAGCATGGCCTGTTGGAGAAGCAGGCTGGGAGAGATGAACCTGTCCTTGAAGTAATTGTTAACTGGACCGTGACAGTGATATGTTTACGCCACCCTCCGTTTGGTGACCCAAGTGGGAGCTGATGGCTGTAGCCACCACCCTGCGTCCTGGCATGCCATGCAGCTGGCTCCTCCGCCCAGCAGCCTTGGCACAACATGCAGGATTGGCAGGTGCAGGGATAAAGGCTGCCGGAGCCTCGGAGGCAGCTGGCTGGCATGCCGGCACCAGCACATCCGTGACAGGAAGCAGAGTGAGTCAGCTGCAGCCCACAGCACACTGGAGCTCCCTGTCCCAGCCTGCCTGCATCCCAGTTCAGGCAGCCCCTCTCTCAGATATAGTCCTGCTGCCTGGCTCTTTTGCTCTCGGCAGCATTAAGTGAAACGCAGGGATGTTATCTGTTGTATGAAAAAAGAAAAAAAAATTTACAAAATTTACATAGATGGCTAATTGTTGCCCAGCTTTATAGCCCTGATTCTGATATCCAATTCATATTTATATTACAACTGATCTTAGTTTCCTCATCATACAGGAGCTGAATACAAATTTATGTTTTCAGCCTCCTAGAGCTGGCCTCGTGTCAAGAAAATAAGCATTTGCTCTTGTCTGCAACTCGGCAATCACCAAAGACAAATAACTGCTCCATCGTTGTAGGATAATGTTGTCATATTCTTGAGATTTTTAAGGGGGACAATTTGCCCTTTCTCTCTTATGAAAACAGTGATTTTTATTTGCCATTGACTAATGCAGCACAGCATGCAAAATGACATAATTTGTGAGCAGTCTAGAGGAAATGTTCTTTAGCTGCATGTGGCTGTTGAATGTAGTTGTAATAGATGTGTAGCTCTCCAGAAGGTGCATATTAAGTTCTCTAACATCATAACTACCTGCCCCCTCACAACTACCAATGGCACTATGCTGGCAAAAAAATTATCCCTACAAGTTTCTAAAGTTTGCCATGACATCTACTTACTTATGCTTCCCCTTGGCATATCTGCTATTAATCAGTTAAATCTGAGGTACTGCGTATACATACAATTAAATATAACTCCCAAGGAAATGGGTATTATATGTGTTTAGGTTAACTCTAACAGAATGGTTAGCCTCAAATTCATCTTTATTAAATTATTTCCTGCTAATTGATAGAATGGACCTACTGGATATAGAAAGAAGTATTGTGGTGAGTGTAAAAAGATTTCTTGACTGCTCTTTGTTCTTGGAATTGCTAGGAATGCTCTGATAGATGCTGTGAGCTTCAGTTAGACCTAACAGAAATTTAAATGTTTCACAGTATGGGATCTTTGAGTTAAGATGCTTGGAAGTCTGTTAGCATATGGCACTCTCTCTACAAACCTATACTAAAAGAACCAATAGCAATGTATATTATGTACACACACAAAAAAAATATGTTTCATGCTCCCAAAGGATCTAAAAATACTCATAGAGCCTGACAACATTCCTCTGACTTGTTGCATTGCATCCTTATTCATCCAAATATTTAACGGTGCTCTTCCATATGATTTAAATGTGTTTCCTGTACAAGTCTATAAGGTCTTTCCTGCATAACAAAAAGAAAGTAAATGAGTCCTTCTAAAATATGTCATGACTGTGTATACAGTGAGAAATAGTATTGACACTTCCTGAAGTCTAGATCTGTCTTTAGTTTTGTGTTCCTATTTCACTGATACATGTGAATCTGAAGCCAAGTCTAGATTCAAGGTGACTTCATGAATCATATCAAGAAGAGATATTGTTGAAAATAATTTAACAAAACAATATTTGAAGGGTAAAGTATCTGTGCTGATAACCAGGGTTTTCCTGATTTGGCAACTAAAGATATTTTACACAACATGAAGTCTCCTGCTGACTTTAATGAGCATTGGATCAGAGCCTAAAAAAGTTTGTTAAGCATGACTTCTGCAGATACTAACAATTTAGCTGAAAATATTTTTCTGGGTATAATCAGACTAAATGCCTTGAGAATAAGTGTTCACTACATATTGGAGTATGTTGCATTAATTAAGTTTTATACATCCTCATGTATAAAATTAAAGTTTTAGAATTTTTTCAACAGTAGAGACAAAGAAATGTACAAAGCACAATTGAATTGTTTCTAATTTCTTTTAAGAAAGAGAAAATGTCATTGTCCACCCTTATTGAATTGTTTTGTTGTATTTCTGTGAAATTGATAAATCTGCTTTAATGTGCCTCTTCAATAAATGTCACCTTCCAGAGCTTGAATATATTTTTTATTGTTTGCAATTGGGTAGTGTGAGATCCTACCAACGTGCTCACCGTTCCCTAGGGGATTGCTGCTGTAGGGGAAAACTGTATATAAAAGGAAATTTCCAAATCAGCAAAAGGTAAAACGTGTAGCTCACACCGTTAAAGGCATGATAAACCTGAGCTGTCATGTATTGATAACTGATGTCCGATACCTTAATTTTATCTTATTGCTCTAGATCAAGGACAAAGTGAATGCTATTATTAATAAAGCCTTAATACTGAACATAGCAATACTAATTTTATGTAAAGTTTCTAACTAATGCAGAGTGCAATAAAAATGTCATGGAGATTAATGCTTTGTGGAATTATCTAATGCTGGATAATAATTTATCTTCCAAAGTTGGCTCCCAGATAGATTCAGACTGGTCTTTTCCAGGTGATAGTTTTTGTCCATTTCTGCTGCCCACAAAAAGAGTTTTCACTCTCTTGCTGTGACACAGGTATGACATCAAAGACGACTACACCCTGCGCATTAAGAAAGCCATGAGCACAGATGAAGGAACCTACACCTGCATCGCCGAGAACCGTGTTGGGAAAGTGGAAGCCTCTGCTACGCTCACCGTGCGAGGTGAGTGCTCCCACAGAGGCAGGGTCCGTGTCCTACAGGATAATTGCTTTCTGATGAGATGGGCCACATCCTTCCCTGCTCTTGTTTGGGTTCCACACACCCTTTGCCGTGCTGGCTGCCTCACTGATTTACAGCGCAGGTGAAATCCTGGTCCTGTTGGCATCTCCTGTGAAATTTTAATTGATTTCAGCGGGATAGGATCCCCCTGCAGTTAAAGTCCTGTCCCTCTTTTTATCGAAGAGCAGATGCATATGTGCATAAGCAAGCACTACAAAACCGTGGGCATAGACATGAATATGAGAGCCATCAGCTCAGGCTATTAGTCACGTTTCTTTCTCTAAGTATGACGAGTAGAGTAACTATATTTATTAATGACAAACATAATACAGATGACATTATTATGGGATTAGCTCTGCCATAATTAATCTCTCTACCACTACCCTTTATCCAAAAAACAAACCTCAGCCAAAGAAAAGAGAAAATCCTAATTAAATTGTGTAAGTATTACAAGGTAAAGACTAATTATTCTCTCCTAAAATATTTGTGGTCTCTAGTATCCGCTCACTGTTTATGTGCTGCTCTTTGGTAAGGAGGTTTTAAGGCTGTTGGAATAATGAGTGTCCAAAATATATTTCGTGGCATTACATATAGACATGCTAAAGATTATGGGGAGAGAAAAAGTTTGTAAGCTAATATTTCTATTTGAGTAAATAGAATATAATAGTTATTACTTCATTCCAAAAGATAAGCAGCAATTTGGCACAATGGATATCAGGCAGACACTATTTCACAGTTTAGTGGTGCATGCTGACGGTTTTCAGTAGAGCTGTGAAAGGTTAATAAAAACATTTTTAGCTTTATCTGTCCTCCTCTTTTCATACACATTAAATCAAATGTTCAAAGCCTCAATGGATTGCTTTATTAGAACTGGGGTCAACTGACCCAAGAGGCCAGCTTCCATTTCCATCCATTTAATGCATGGACACAGTTCAGTTTAATTTGCTGAATTCAAAGAAAAAAAAAAAAGCCGCTGAGTGGCTTTGTAGGGTGGTATGTAACAAAGAAAAGCGAGCATTGTGATAATCTGTTGAAATATTACCTCAGTGTTCACTTTAGACTGTAAGTGACAATGTGTCTCTTCCCATTTTAAGTTGAAGAAATAGGTGTGTAAGAGACTGTTCTTCCCTTTTGTAATATGGGAAAATTAGTCACCACAGCCAACTCCCAGAAACAGTCTCACTCTGTTCCTTTGTCACACGCAGTATCACCGTGTCCAGTAATTCTGGTAACCAATTCCCTGGCTTTTAAACACTCCTAGAACTGTGTCCACTCTGCATATCACTGGAGCAAGCCTTTTGGATTTGCTACCCTGACTTTTAATGTAAACAATAGCTAGAACCCAGCAAAAAAATCCTTTGAAATCACCGAAGCTTGAACCCAATGAAATTAAAGGGAAAAAAAACTCAAGGAAATGTGTAATTCAATCGATCTTCCCCCAGTAAAAGCATGTTTTCATTATCTTGTGTATTTTTCCCCCGGGTTTGTCATTTACAGTCAAATACATAATGCTTATTCAATACAAAGGAAGCCATGATATTAGAAACATACTACATGTTCTGGATATGACAGAAAGTGAGAAAAACAAGAAATTCATTGGAGAAAGCTATTACTCTGAATTTTGTTAAAACAAAGGACTGGGAAATCTCCCAGTGACTTTAAGGGGATGATGAACAAGGGATTTTTTAATAAAAGAAAGCTTTAATTCTGAATTCTTAATTAACATTGTTGTCTGACACTGGTTTTACCACGTCATGTAAAGGAGCAAAACCACTTAGTGCTTCAAAATTTACCCTGAGCTTGTCTTGGACCTTGCAGGTGTCATGTAGTTCCATCTGCACACCTGACAACAACCCTGTAATCCTTAGATGCCATATTCAGAGCTCAATCTTCTTAAGCCAGAGGATGGGGATGCAGTCTGGAAAGTTGCATTACACTGTCACAAACAACAGCAGAATCTGAGTTCTGTGGCCCAGACTCCATATTCTGTCTTGGAAAGATGCGTATCACTCTTACACCTCATCTTTCTGCAGAAGAAGGAATATGTCCATAATGCTGGAAGCCAAAAAGTGTTCCAAGAGATGATGGGTGAGAATGGCAGCAGACTAGACATAGTTAAATGAAATGGGGACACAGCCATGGAAAGGTTGAGAACTAAGAATGCCCTTGCAAGCTCTGTTACCTCTGAATTTGCATGTCTTACATTTGACCCTAGCCTGCACATAAGCACACAGAGCTGGTAATCTTCTTAAAAAAAAAAAAAAGAAAAAAGAAAAAAGAATTGTGCCATTGCTCAGAAATGTGTAATTTTTGCTGCTGATAAAATAAGGGAAGCTTTGCCTACACAGATGCAATCTGGAGTCAATTTTATGTCCAAATTTTCAGCTCTTCTGGAAGAGACGTCTATATTTTATTAGCAGAGGGACTGACAGCTCTCTTCCCCAGCACAAGTATAATGAAGGGCTGTTCTATAACCAAGAAATCACTTGTTGCAGCAGCAACTTTCAATCTCTGTATCAGCCTGAAACAGTATTAACCTGTCAATCATTTAACAGCAATTTTTTAGGAAGCAGAAGTTACCTAAGCAGTGATTTGGGAGGTTCTGGGTTGAAGTCCCTTTGGCCATTTCAGCCCATTTGTTATATTTTCATCAGCACTGTCAGTGATGAAAAAGCACTGTGCTGTAAGCTTTCATGCCCATTATTGAATGAGAAAAACTGTCCTGGGCTTTCTGTAGCCTTTACTGACGTACTGACTGGTCATGCTTAAAATTCATTTGGTATTTTACTCAGAAAGCAAATGCCTTGCATGACATTAGGCAGTGTGATACTTAAATTGATGTGCTCATTGGGATCTAAAAGTTTGTGCTAATGCAATGCAATTTTTCTTTTATCAGGCATTAACAATGATACTTGATGATGGCATGCGAAGATAATAAAAATGTTTTTCAGAGAATGGTTCCAGTCAGCTTGTTCAGATGCTATGCTCAAGTAAATGGGATGATAGTGGCACGTGACTAAACGATAGCAGCAGTGAACATTTGACTTAGGCTGCCATTTGAGGGGTTAGCAATCATGGTAGTATCCATAGTGGAAAGTAACATTACACGTCATGCATTCTGACAGATATTCTTTTCTTTTTTTAATTTCTTTTTTATGTTCTCACTACACCATTGTAATGTCAACAGCTCGCCCCGTTGGTAAGTAACCATCCTTCTATCCATTTTAGCATGGCTTCATGCAATGCTTCATCTTTCATTTGCAGCAGCATTTCACTGGCTGGAATAAGCAGCCAGCGCTTAATAGTTGTACCTGTCTAACACCAGGCAAGCGGTTTTGTCTGCCAAAGTGCTTTTTTCCAAATGTTGTATTTCCTACTGTGTCGTGTACAAGCACATCTGCCAAATCACCAGCAAGTACCGGTCGGTGAAACGGGGTGGGTGTGCCGAGACCGAGCCGCAATCACTCATTTAGGTGTTTTTATTGGTCTGGTTTTGGGCCTGGTGTAAAAGCCACTGAAATCAACAGAAAGGGTTGTGTTGGCTTTGGTGAGCTTCTCCCAGGATCCAAACAATCAGCTCATCCTGCTTTTCCTGCACAGCAGGAAAAGCACAGGCTTTGCATGTCCCGTCTTTCTTGTGTCGTATCATTCAAAGAGTTCTGAAGTGAAGAAGTCCTGAAATTGAAGAGGGGGTGGAGATTTCTGCAGATTTCTGTGCTTGCTGAGGGAGTTCATCACTGATTTCTGCCCTTGGGCCATCTTGGAGTGCAGTTTGGAGTGCACTGTAGAGGATGCAGACTATTTTGAATAACAAGTCCTGAGGAAGACAACCTCTAGGTTTTAAATCCCCATACTGAAAACTTTATTATTTCCTGTGCCTTTGAAATTCTGTAAATGCATAAAAATCTTACTGAAGATAGTGGAAAATTTGCAACTGTCAGTAGCTGAAATTCACTTCTGGTGTTCAGAAATATCCCAAACGTATGATTCAATTTTCTTTCATGAATATTTACTCTGTGCCTACAAGGATTTAGTTTAATGAGCTGCATTGCTCCTCTGATATTTGTAGTTTGTATTTAAAGGTATCTTTTAGAATAATAATATGGTAACTTGCATTTTTTGAATTAGTGTAAAAAGTCAGTACACTAATGGTGTTTATGGAGACTGATGAGGGGTTTGGTCTTTATTTGCTTAGTCAAAACTTTTGTTAGATATATTTGATAGATTATTTGATATATAATGGTATTGATATTATTGATATATTGATAGATTATTTTGTTTGACTAAAGTTTATGAGTTTGAATTAATCTCAGCTCTTCAGTGTTCTAAATTTGGAGGAAGAAAGATTGGAGTAATTTAAAGATAACATCCAGGTTAGGCTTCTGCTTCCAGAACTAGGGTGATCCCATCTTATTAACTTGCTTGAACTGACATCCATGGAACCAAGCCAAATACCTCCACAGTCACAGCATGGCTTATCCACACCTGTAGAATTCCCTGTGCAGAACAGAAATTTACTTTTCTTCATTTGGGATTTTGATAGCAAGCTTTAAACCCAAATCATTACTGTATTGTTTTGATATTACGTTCGTTCTCAAGTAATTCATTCCCAGGAGTTGCAGAAGTGTAAAACTGCAGTAAACTCAGGAGCAAATTTTACTGTGCTTAGAAAATGTGGTGTGAATTTAGTGTGCTTCTTCATTTACTAAGAAATGCCACAAGATTAAAAGTTGCTTGCAGATACTTTTTTTTTTTTTTTTTAACTTTGCTGACTCTTAAAAGACAGGCAAGGAAAAAAAATCATAAAGTGGAGACTGTTTCAAGCTCTGTGAAAACTACATAAAATAAATGACTGGAGATTCACAAGAAAATTATAGGTTTCAACAGTGTTGATAGTGTCTCATTTCACAGCACTGATTCTTTTTAAAATTTTTTCAGGCCATTCAGTCATCACTGATTCCATCTCCAAAGCTTATATAGCAGGTCTTGGTCTCAAGTTACTTTATGTCCAGCTATATGATTGCGTGATCATGCCGTGGTCAATTCCACATATTCCCTGCCTAGGCTATTTTATTTTGTTGAAAGAGAACAACTGTGACAAAGAAATTTATTCTTCTACAGAATTTATTTAGGAAACTGAAATTAGAATGGTTTATCTTGAAATAATTACTATATGGGCATATGGTCCTTATCAAATTATTTAATTTAGTGATTATCTTTGTGACTTGTGAAAAGGATTGTTGACTAAATAGGTCTAATCCTGAAGATGTTTGACATAGAGCTCCCGTACAAGTGTATGCGAGGATTGCTGTGTATAAGCAGATCAGAGTCAGTCACTTGATCCTGTACCTGTAGAAGGACAGTGATAGTGTGTACCTGTATTGCGTTTTTTGCATAAGCACCCGAGATAAAATTAATGTCTGCAGTTCACAGCTCTATTTCATTCAATACTAGGCAAAGGTTAAAAAAGGTTAAAAAAACCAATCCTGGATTTTTATTTAAAGTCTGGTAAGACAAATCAAAGTAGCTTCCCTCTCCACCAAGAAACCCAAGTAGTCTTCTGTTAAAATTGTCATTTAACAAGCACAGGGAGTGAGATCCTGTGGCATTTTTTTTTTTTCAGGAAGTTAACTGGAAGAGCAAAAATACCTCTCCTTACCTAAAGGAAGCTAAAGAAAACACTGTTGTGTACTTAGCTCCCAGCTTTCTAGGAGGATGATATTTTAACAGAAGTACATTTGTATATTTATGTATATGTTACCAAGAGAGCGCTTAAAAGTTTAAATTTTTTTCATGACACCAGAGAATTATCTAGGTACTTCTACCTTCCATCACTGTCTCCGATTCAGTGTTTTGTCTTTATTAGGTTTTAAACAAGACCAAACTTTTTTCCCAATGAAGAGTGGAGAAGATTTTTTTTATTATTTAGATTTGTATTAATTGTTGCAAACAGAATAATCTTCATTATCTAGTCAGTTTTTGCCTGTTTCAAATATTTGTACTCTGTTAGGTATGATATTTTTATTCTAATTTCCGCTTGAACAGAAAATTTAGGAGTGGGATTACCAATTACCATCTTGGGTTCAAGCACTTATTAACAAATGGTTCGTACTACACAGATAAAATGAGGTATGGTGCTGCCCGAGGTGGGTGGCAGCTGGTGAATTTAAAAGCTCTGTGCCAAATTACTCATCATGTTTGAATTTGCTGCTAGGAATAAATGTGTTGCCTGTTTCTAAAATAGATTATTTATAATCTTTTGAAAAGATTTCTGACAGGATTTACAACAGATGGGTTTAGGAAACAAGATATTTATCCCTATTTAGACCATTTCTATAGTTATTTCACTCATTAAGTAGATTTTCCAGACGAGCAAGTTAGAATTTTCTCATTTTTGCATTCTGCTGTATTACTTGTGGCAGTTGGGCAGGAGCATAGCTGCTGAAAGAAGCACAATAGCTGGGAAGAGCCCAAAAGTTTTAGTAACAGTGACCCTCTTTTCAAAGGCGGTTGCTCTACTGCTTTGAGAAGGAGGAGCTTCAAGTGGAATATCTCTGAAGACCTGTCTGATGTCCCAGTTACTTTTTTATTAATAATACAAAAAGTCAGTCAGGTGACAGGGTACCACTCAGTTTGCAAAATAATTTCAACTAAGTCCAAGTGAAAATACAGTTCTTTGCATGTCAGTTGCTTTGAAGTTAGTCAAGTTTACTTGGTCTTTTGTTGTGTGCTGTGGCTCATCTTCCCAAAAAGAGACTTGCATCAAATACCTGGATACCTTTGCCACCAGGATAGAAGTGAAGTATTTGAACTTAGCTATGGGACCAAAGGGAGACTAAGTACAAAAAGAAACTTCTCTGTCACGGTGGTGAAGAGACAGCTAAGACACCTGCCTTGGATTTTCCAAATTTCCTATTAGTTAAATGCAGGCTATTGGCATTTAAGTGCAAAATGACTCTATGATGCATTTCAATCTGCACTGGAAGTTTTCATTACATAAATCAGTGTGGCATGACTTAATGGTCTGTTAAGAGTGGTGCAGCATGAAAAACAATAGAAAGGGCTGTATTTTACAGAAAGTTGTATTAGGTTTTGTGACATTGCTCAGATGGTTCAGATTGGTAAGTGAGAAAGATTTCTCTTTATTCTTCTTTATTCTGACTCTTGCAGAGAAAGTCTATATACAATGAATGTTTTTATTTTTATTACATTCATGAACATATCACCTTCACTTGAGACACTGAGGATTTATAAAATATCAGTAATGTGGATTGGAGCGTGACGAGAGAGATGAGATCCAGCTTGGTGCTACAATGCCATCTTTCAGTGGCAGAAATCTTAAATTTATATCAAAATGTACTATCTTGCCTGTCTGGTACCACTTACAGAAATTTTTGGGAGAGGGTAAGGACAACAGTGGACATTGGGCTTTTTGGACTTAAAATAAAAGATTAAGAGTTAAATAAAGAGTAAGACATCATTATTTTTAAAAAGTCAGAAATTCTTCAGATTTAAAGATAAAAGGTTGCTGCAGGATGAAATTCATATTGCTTTTTATACCAGTAAGAGATTAAAATATGGAGCTGACTTGTTTCGATTTTTTGTAGCCTGTAAATGCCACTCTAAAAATCTTGAAGTCCTTAGCATATCTACTTTGCCTTAAGTTCAGTCGCTGAAGTACAGGAAGTGATCAAGAGTCCCATTATTCTAATTTTTTTTTAATTGCTGAGCTCTAGCTTGGGGAAGTTCTAGGAAGTTTCATGCATAGCTTTTATTTTTGAACTTTCAAAGTTTCTCAAAACATGCTCAAATCAGTGAGAATTGTTTTCCTATTTATTTGGCTTCTGAGTTCTGAGTATATCCATAAGTCTTTGAAGATTAGTGTATAAAAAAGGTCTGTTGATGTGTTGCTCTCCCCAAGCTTTTCCCTTCCTTTCAGTAAAAGGAGTAATTGGTTACTTTTCCTTCAAGAGGAATGTGGAAATCAATACATTAATGTATTCACTTTTCCCTTTGCTTTCTTTGCTCTATTGCTGCCAGCCAATTTACAGCTTGGATGTGATCTCAGTGTTACTCAACAGCAAAACTGTTTGTGCCCTATTCCTTCCATGTTAGCATTGTCAGTCAGAATAAATAGTCATTTTTCTTCCTCTCTCCTTTTTCTCTTTTCATTTAACAGTGTCCCAAATTGAGTAGAGT